TACAAGTGCATTATGATGGTCCGAGTCTTTATTCTGACAATGACTTATAATGAAAATGATGGAAATGAAGTCAATTTAACTTGTTTTGCTAGGGTTTCCATGAGGATCAAAATGAGGGATGGACCAGATCTTAAAATATTCAAGTAATTTCAGACTATACAATTTTGAAATATTTTCAAGCAACCAAACTACTCTGAAATGAAGGTTACAACCTCTTTTCAAAGCAAACACAACCCACCTCCATCAAGTCAACTTTGACTCCTTGTGACCCAAGGTTTTAAATCTTCATGGTAGCAGAGAGCCTCATCTTTCTCGTGAGGCGTGGCTGGTGGGTTTGAACCATAGACCTTGTGGTTAGCAGTCCAATGCTTACCCAACCGGGTCCCAGGCCACTTTACAACTGGTATAGTGCTTTGTTAAGGGAAGTTAAAACATTTTAGTTTGGAGAAGAAAGGACTCATGAAGTGATAGTAGCTATTATTTACTACCTGTTTGCATATCACCTGGAAAAGGATTCAGACTTATTTTTCAAGTGATTAAAAAAAGACTAATTGTTGATAAAAAAAAAAAGACTCACTATTCACCTCAGCTAGTAATTAAAGATGTTTGACTCATATCAACTTTCCTTGTGAAGATCCAGGAGGGACGTGAACATGAGTTTTTAGGCCAGGGATCTTAATGATCCCTGTGACACTCGATTACTTTACCTAAGATGACTTAGAAGGAAAACTGTTTCAAGTTTTAAATCAAGGACTTAGTCTTTGCAGTGTCTGTGTCTGGCTTGCTTATGGTCTTCTGTTCACCAAAAGGGTCTTTGCTAGCTCCTTGGTGACAATGTTACAAAGACAAGTTATTCTTCCCTGTCAAAACCAGAAATCCATGCTGTCAAGTCAATTCTGACTCATAGGTTTCTGAGACTGTGAATCTTTACAGGAGCAGACAGCCTTCTCTGTCTCTCAAGGAGCAGCTGGTGATTTTGAGCCTCTGATCTCACAGTAAGCCACTCAAAGCTGGAAACACAGTGCCACCAGAGCAGCTCTATCAAATGCCAGCTGAGTGATTTTAAGGCAACTTTGTGAACAGCTGATCACAGTGGATCCTAAATGGCAGGACTCCTTAATAAGGCAATGCAATAGTTGTATGTCGGACTTAACTAAAATATTTAAAAAATAAACCCGATGAATATTGGCATCCTTATTTCATGAATTCAAGAACTTTCTAATGATGTCTCTATGTGTCAGATGATTGTTCAAAGCAAAATATTAGTTTCCAGATGCCTTGCCTATGCAATATTCTAGCATGTATAAGATATCTTAACATAATTTTAATCACATCGCCTAGCTTCTGACGCCAGTTAAGACTGCAATCACTTTGCCAGACAAAGCTACTTGTTTTCTTGAAATGAAATGAAATTTGTAGAGTTTATACTTTCAAAGAAGACGGGAGAACTTTGCTAATCTGCTCCAGTTGGATAACAAACAGCCTTTAATGTACACTGGTACAGATAGGAACTGAAAATACAGGGAATCCAGGGTAGATGAGCCCTACAGGACCAGTGGTGTGAGTGGTGAAACAGGGAGGGTAAAGGGAGAGTGGGTAGGAAAGAGGGAACCGATTACAAGGAACTGTGTGTGACCTCCTCCCTGGGGGACAGACAACGGAAAAGTGGGTGAAGGGAGACGTTGGACAGGGCAAGATATGACAAAATAACAATGTATAAACTATCAAGGGCTCATGAGGGAGGGGGGAGTGGGGAGGGAGGGGAAAAATGAGGACCTAATGTCGGGGGTTTAAATGGAGAGAAAATGTTTTGAGAAACGATGTACAAATGCGCTTTACACAATTGATGTGTGTATGGATTGGGATAACAGTTGTATGATCCCCTAATAAAATGTTTAAAAAAAAATTAGTATAATCTATAAAAAGGAAAAATTCTATCCGTGTTTATTCCAAAAAGCAATTTTGATTTTATCAAGCATACTTTTCCTGAAAAACAATTTTCTCAGACCTGGCCTTTTCTAAGTCAAAACCAGAGCTTTCCAGGTGTAACTCAGCGATATCTCACCAAAATGAGTCACAGATGGGTTTCTCAGCCTGTATGACAGTCATAGTTACACTGTGCTGGAGTCCAAGAAGTGTGCAGTGCTGTTACGCGGTGCCCTCACGTCGGGCCTGACCCATAGCGACCCTGTGCACAACAGAATGAAACACTGCCTGGTCCTGCGCCGTCTGCAACACTTATCCCTACGTCTTCGCCCACTGCTGCAGCCAGTGTCAATCCATCTCCTTGAGGGCCCTCCTCCTTTTTTGGCTGCCTTCTATTTTACCAAGCATCTATATAGCATTATAAAAAAGCTGGAAACACTGTAAGAATGACCAAAACATGACAGAGGCACGCAGTAAGGACAGGCTATGCTGTATATAGAGTTGCCACAAAACTTGAAATTGTAAAAACAAACAACTGAAACCATATTCTCTGTGACATGCAATAAAGTAAAACATAATAAAATGAAGTGTGCCTGTAGGTGCAGGCCTGGGGCACACACCCTTGTTCCTTGGCCCAAGGGTGAATTCTCTGACAGACAGACTCATCCCTTTTGACACGAGTATCCCCGAATTCTAGAAGAATGAAAACTAGCGCTGGTGTTGTGGCTACTGAGGACACATTGGTTGTTTCTTTAATTTCTTAGTTTCAGGATCATCATGGCTCAATTCAGACTTCAATGGACACGCCCGTCCAACATGTACACTATAACCTTTCGTATCAACTTGCTTTTCTTAAACAGGCACATGAAGAGTAACCTTCGGCATAGGAATAACAGAAAACAACATTTCACAACCTGCTCATCTCTCAGTTCTCAGGTCATTGGTAATGGCTTCCACATCAAACTTATGCAAGGGAAAAAGAGCCACTTTGTTGTATTTTATTTTTTTGTTTTTGACAATTTCAATAAAAATGAAACATCTTATTCACTCCACCAACAATTTTAAGATAGGGAGGACCAAGAAAAGATAAAACTTCAATTTACAATTGTCAACTCAGACAGGTCTGGGAAACGCAACTTTATCTAAACTGCTTTCCTCCTCAGAGGACTCCTGGGGCCACCGAATATCTTCAAGGTTCTCAAAAGGCCATCTTCCATCCAGTGCAGTGTCTGGCACACAATTCCCAAACCCAACCCACTGCCGCCGACTCCATTCTGGCTCTTAGTGACCCTGTAGGGCAGAGCAGAACTGTCTCTTCGGGTTTTCAGCTTTTAAATCTTTACAGGGGTCAGTCTCATCGTTCTCCCACGGCACATGGTGAGGCCCCCAGAAATACCGTCTAAATGCGGAATACAATCGTGATCACCTGGGTCCAAATCGGCAAGTGAAAGCAGAAAGGGCCAGACCGGTGAATTCACGTGTTCTAAACCACACAGCTATCACTGGTGGACAGAGCTGGATCTAGAACTCAGGACTCCTGATCTTACATCAACTATGGAAAAAGGCACTTGAATTTCCTTAGGCACTGGGCTTTAACCAAAGACACCTGGGCTATAAGCTCAGCCCAATCTTAAGATTTCCACACCCAAATCAAACTCACTGCCATCAAGTGCAGTTCTACTAGTAGCAACTCTAATGTCATGTGACCTTCCCAATTATTCCCGTACATGTTGGATGACGGTGGAAATCTGCCTGGGTGTCACTTACTGTAAGAAATATGCTTGACTTCTCCTGGAAAACCTACTTTTATAGCACTCTTCTCTTAATCTGAAATGTTTTGCTAAAACCAAATTAATTAGGAAAGAAACAGTCCCTTTATAAGAGAATCTCTTTATAATTCCTTAACATGATTGACTACAAACTAAAAGGTTGGTGGTTCAATACCACCTAGAGGCCTCTTGGAATACTTCTAAAATAACTCAGCCACCAGAGGTCCAGGATTGGCAAATTAAGACCGTTTGCCAAATCTGGCCACCACCTGCATTTGCACGTAACGTTCTATTGGAACACACACCAAATCAGACATTTGAAGCACAGTCCATCTGAGAAACAAAAGTTTTGGGATTGAATTAACAGCACCTTGTACTTGGTGTTGTTGTTAGTGCCAAGGGTCCGTTCTCACGCATAGCAACCCTATGCACAACAGAACGAAACACTGCCCCAGCCTGTGCTTGGCTCTTTGTTGCAGCCACCGTGTGAATCCATCTCATTGAGGGTCTTCCTCTTGTTGGCTGCCCCTCCACTTTACCAAGCACAATGTCCTTCTCCAGGAACTGGTCTCTCCTGACAATATGTCCAAAGTATTGGAAACGAAGAGCCATCATCCTTGTCTCTAAGAAGCATTCTGGCTGTACTTCTTCCAAGACAGAGATCTTTACAGGTATAGTACTGGCACTGATAATTAAATGTCTTACATTTGGATGGTTCTTTACTGTTTACAAAGCACTGCCAACATTTTCTTACAGTTCTGTTCCTTTAAACATTCATGAATACATTTGCCAGACGGTATCTTGCTGTTGGTAAATGAAGTCATGATAGTGTTATAATGGTGAGATGAGCCTACCAGTGGTCCCAGGGACACAGGTTTGTTCCTCTTTGACCTGGTGGAGACGTGCGTGCGGAGTAAGAGATAAGGCAGTGTTATCAGTAAAGGGGCTGGGCAAGGTCAAGGCTATCCAAGCACCTGTGTTTACCCATGACGTAGGCTAGCTTACACGCCTTTCTGCAGTGAAGCCATGCTTTATTTGAATAGGACATGACAGAATGTGTACTTGACCTCGGGCACCAAAGAGCTGAGTTTTAAAAATACAAATTTGTGATGTCACCTTGCTTTCATAGGCTTTGGGGTGAGCCCCAAGCAAAGAGAAATTCTAATTAAAGGCCAGGTTTGCATCACAGAAGCAGAAGGGTTGCTGGCCGGTTATCTCAGGTGTGTTCAGGGATGGGGCACCCAGCCCTCCCGGCAGCACTGCTCCGTGTATTGTATTCGGACAAATGTCACCAATGGGCATTACCTGCCTTGGCTGGTTGACTTTTGCTCCTGAAGACAAGAGTAATCGAATGACATCCAAGTAACCACCCTGGGCAGCCAGGAAGAGGGCAGTGGCTCCATCCTGAGAGAGAGCAAAGCAAAAGTAGGGTGTGTGTGTGTGTCATTATTCATGGTCATTCAAAAATGAAACTAGATTTGAAAAAATACAAAACCAAAACCCAACAAACATCAAAACATGCAACTAAAATATTATCCTCTTTTACCCTAGAAAATTCAAAGTAAACTCATGGTCATCAAGTCAATTCTGATTCATAGCGACCGTAGAGGACAGAGTAAAATTGCCCCTGTAGGTTTCGGGGACTTTAAATCTTTCTCCTGCAGAGCAGCTGGTCGGTTTAAATGGCTGGCTTGTGTTGAGCTGTCAATGTGTTAGCCCACTAAGCCACCAGAGCTCCTTAAGTGTAAGTTAAACAGACAACCAAACTTATCCCCCAAATGTTTTGGTTTTGTGAAGGAGTAAAAAACAAACAAACAAAAACATCCTTCTAATTCAGTGATGGAGAATGTCTGATCTGCAGGCCATGCAAGACCTGAAAAATCATCAATACCAGTCACCATCACGTGCCTTACCAAAGGGGGCGGTTCTAGCGCCCACAGTAACCTTGCTGCCATTGAGTGATGCCGACTCATAGTGTCCCTATAGGACAAGGTTTCCCTAGGAAATCAAAGCCGAGTCATTCTCCCGCAGAATAGCTGGTGGTTTCAAACTGCTGAGTTTGTGGTTGTCAGCCCAACCCAGAGTCGTTGCACCACCAGGCCTCCCAGCCATCACATTAGGGGGAAGTTAATGAAATGTTTGACCTGTCTGGCCCCCAAAGGATTTATAAGGATGTTATAAATATCCAAATGAACCTTGGCAGAAAAATGGTTCCCCACTCCAGTAATTTAATTAGTTAAATCTTTCCTATGCCACTTCCTTTCTTGCTCCTTATCCACCTCCCCTCCCCATCAGATTACTTCTTTTTTTTTCTTTTTCTTTTTTTACTTTTTATTTTTTTTCCAGATTACTTCTCAAGCATTAAAACTCCAGATGCTTTCAGGAAAATGCTCCCTGGCCACCCAGCAAACCCAACAACAAGCCAAGAGGAGGGGTTTGTCTCCAATTTTCTTAACTGGGGTGTTTATGTCATCTGGGCATTTCAGTTTTCTTGATGTGTCACTAGCTAATTCCAGCAAAGCTACTTGTGCTTGATAGCATGGCTCCCCACACACCCCCCCACACCCCCAGAGGCTCTCTCACACAGTGAGCATTGACTGACAGATATGCATTGACAGGACATGCCCTCTCACGCAGAGAGCATTGAGCTTTGTCATTTTTATAGCCCAGTGGAAAACCCAAGCAAACCCTAGTGGAAAACACCTTGCTACCCCAGCTAAGGATCAAGTCTCCCTTCATGAATGTTACCGATAGTAGCTAAAATGCAGCCTGCTCTGTAAGTCCAACCAGGCATGTCACATGGAGGGGCCTGCAGTCCTAGTGGGTGTGGGGGAGCTGCCAGACTCCACTCAAGAGAATCATTATAAAATGAATCCGACTTTTAAGCAGATGTTGCATATGGGGATAAAACGTGCAGTTTGCCCCTAATAATGCTGTTGCAGAAGGTCTATCGTCCTTAGCAGCTGCAAACGCTTAGGACTTTTCTAACATGCACTGTCCATACATCAAACTTTTCTTTGTTTGTTGCATGTTTCAGCTCCTACAAAATTTCAGGGGCCATTGAACATTTCCTCCTCTGTATTTTAGTAGTTGTTCTTCCTTCCTTCCTTCTTTTTTTTTTTAACAGTTTTATTGGCACCTAATTTGTATATCACACAATTCAATAGTTCAATCATATCAGGAAGAATGGTACAATCATTACCACAATCACTTTTAGTACATCCCCCCATCCTGCCATGGTTAAATCACCTTTAAAATGAGTTGTGTAATCACAAGCAGTTCTAGTGCTCCCTCCCCTCTCCTGCCTTCAATGTTTACTACCCAAATCCCCTCGCCCTCCCTCCCTCCCACCCACCCTTACACCCCCATATAAACCCTGCATCAGTTATTATCTCTATGCATCACTCCTGTGCTTTACAAACTGAGAAACCCAGCAGAAACAATTAAAAAAGTCAAAATAAAGTGGTAAGGATAAAATGATAATAATAATAATATAAAGAAAAAAATACAAATAATGATTAACAATGAAAAGACCACCATCAATATTTTAAAAGCCTGGGAAGAAATTTTTTTTGATGGAATACACAAGAGATACTTGTACCTAGAAGAAAATTCAGGTTGGGTCAATAGGGAGGTCAATTGACCAAGTATCAAATTTGATTCTGCATAATTAAGATTACAATGATCTCTGTCTGATGGTAAGGCTGGTCAAGACCCTTGCCTGTGGCTAATGGGGATCAGCCCGGGGCTTCATCTGAGTAGGTAGCCTGCAGATGGGTCTTGGGCTCCCACTGTCGTCCATAGCTTTCTACCAATTGGGTGTTAATAATTTTAGCTCTGATAGTTTGCCCATTGTCATATTTGAACCTTGTTATTGTCAGCTTTGGATCACGACAGCTGGTGTGTTTCTTCCATGTGGACTTTGTTGACTCCTCGCTTAGATGACTGCTTGTTTGAATACAAGCCTTTAAGATCCCAGGCACTATTCTGATTGACAGCTGGACACCATCTGCTTTCTTCGCCACACTTTGCTGTGGCACCCTTAGAGTCAGTGATCCTTTCATGGCAGTGAGTATCGAACAGGGCCATGTGATCAGAACTTACTGCTCTTGGATTGGGGCTAGAGTAAGTAGGAAACCAGAATCCGTCTGTATGTCCATGGTATATGCACGAATCAGGTTTACTTTGGTGGCCATAAGAAGGCCAAATCCAAACCCCATACGACCAACTACACCAATAATAGCAACAAGCCAACGAGCAAAGAAACAGAAAAGCAAAACAAACAAAAACAAGCTAAAAGCAGGAAAACAAAAACCCCTAGAAACAAAAATGGACATTGTCGTCTATCATCCCTCTGGGGTATAAGGCAATTGCACTGCTAATATCATTTTTTTCAATGACCCAGCACTCCAGACACTGTCTATATGGGAAGTCTATGGGAGTACAGTTCCACCTTGAGCCACAACCCATGAGTTGTTGCCCTACACAGTTCAATCTACCATTCAGCTGAGCTCTGTTTACCCTAAGTATGAGGACTGGTGCAAAGGGAGACCTTCCTAGATCAATTTTTCCAAGTGCAGATCCAAACCTGTCATGCCCCTGCAAGGTGGGCATAAAGGTACTAAATATGGTGATTCTGGGTCCCTTTCCATTGGGCACTCACCAAGCCAGAGGTTCCCCCCAAGGTCCGATGGCCACCCCTTCCACTGTCCTAGGTCAGTACTCTCTGCTTCCTCTCCCATCCAAGTACCCCAGTCCTTAGTCCAAGGGTGCAGGCAACTATGGGGCAGGGCTCAGTTCATTCAGTTAGGCCTCTATGTTAAGTCTTTCTGGTGTAGCACCCATGTTATGTCATGCTGCCTACAAGGTCAATTTCCAAGGTCATCAGTGCACTTAGTCCATGTCTTAGTTCACCGAAGGTTGGGTAGAAAGGTATTCGTTGTGTCTACCCAGGAACATAAAATCTGGCCCATTGTCCCCCTAGGTTCCCTACAATCATTGTTTAGCATCCTTTTTCCAGGTGAGATTACTTTGCCCCAATCCCCTACCACACTCTCAGTGTGTACTCCAAAACATAGCTGTTCCCCTTTCCTGGTCTTAGCTTGATTTTCCAGCAAGATTCTCCTTCCATCCCTGTGGGGGGAGGGGCCCATTGCTTGCCCCAGCCTTGTTTCGATGTTGTATAGCCTCTAGTAGATGGTCAGCTCCCATTTCCCCCCTCTTGAAAGAGTGACCTCAGACAATACAAGGTCTCTTTGCTCTCGTGAAGTGAGCAAAAGGGAGGCGATGTGTGATTCGTGGCCAGTAAGTAGACTTTTCTCCTTTTGTTCAGGAATTGTTCCTATTGTTTGTTCAGTTGGTATTTCTTCTTCTAGTAGTGGACTCATACAATGCTTGTCCTTTTATGATTGACTTACTTCATTCAGCATAGTGGTTTGAAAGTCGGTCCATGTCATGTGGTGTTTCATGCTCTCATCACCGTTTTCCAGGGATGCGTAATATTTCATTCTGCACATGTACCATCGTTTCTTCAGCTATTCTTCCACTGTTGGGCATCTGGACTGCTTCCAGTTTCTTGCTATTGTGAACTGTGCTGCTATGAATATTGGAGAGCATACCTCCACTGGTGTTGTGTCTCTTATTTCCTTAGGGAATATGCCTAAACGTGGTATTGCTGGATTGTGTGGGATTTCAATTCCCAGTGGATTTAAATATCACCATATCATTTTCCACAGTGGCTTTATGTAGTTACAAGTCCACTGACGGTGTATGTGAGTTCCAATCTTTCCGCATACTCTCTAGCATTTGTTGGTTTCTATTTTTTTTTTTACAGGGGCCCTAGCATTGTGGGTGTAAAGTGAGAGCTCATTGTGGTTTTAATTTGCATTTCTCTGATGGCTAGTGATCGTGAGCATTTTCACATGTGTTTGTTACCCATTTGCACTTCATTTTTGGTGAACTGCCTGTTCTTATCTTTCCCCCATTTCTTAGTTGGGTCTCCTGTTATGTTCTTATTGAGCTGTTGTAGAGTTCTATATATTTTGGTAATTAGCCTTTTGTCTGATTTGTTGTTTGTAAATATTTTTTTCTCAATTTGTGGGCTCTCGTTTCACTCCTGATGAAGTCGTAATTTCAGCATGTCCCAGTCCTCTATCTTGTCTTTTGCTGTGTGCGCCTCCTCCATTATACTTGGTAGTCTACGCATGCCCTGCAACAGGGCCCGTAGGTTTGTTCTAGACTTCTCACTGATCACCCTGAGAGCTTTGGGGTTTACAATTCGGTCTTTAATCCATCTCGAGTTCGTTTTTGTGCATGGGGAAAGGCATGGGTCCTATTTTATTCTTCTTCATGTGGAAATGCAGTTTGCCCAATATCATTTGTTGAAGTGGCTGTCTTTCTCCCAT